TGCTCATAAACTTCAGCCAAGGTCTTTGCCTTGTGTGTTCATTGGATATAGCTCAATTCACAAGGGATACAAATGTTTGCATCCCTCTACAAAACGAGTATATATATCAAGGCATGTAGTGTTTGATGATTTTTTTCTTCCATATACTGATCTAACAAGAATTTCAGGAAATACTAGTACAAATGGTGAACTTTGCAAGTATCCAGACCATGACGAGTGGTCACGAGCCTCATCCCATTTACAACCTTCACGGAAGCTGGATGATCATGCTTCTATGACTCCACCTTCTAGGCAACAGACCATGGTTATAGAAAGCACGAGAGCAGAAGAAGAAATAGAAGATCATAATGCAGAGAATATAGAGCTCGAGGGAGAACAAAATCTGGAATATGAGAGAGACTACATCTCAACTCAAAGCACTTTGGGACCCAACAACCGGGACTCTCCTTCAAGCTCAATTAATCCTTTATCTACCACTAGGATCAATCCAAGTCTGGTAGAAGTTGCTCAAGAAGAACCAGCTTCTGCTGAGTCTTCACAAGAACCTATTGGAGTGCCTCCACCATCTCACAATGCAACTTCAGCATCTACTCATCCAATGATGACAAGAACTCGTACAGGGACACATACTGGCCATGTTAAGACTTCATTTTCAAAATATGCAAACACTATGGTCACTAATAATAATTCCTCTTTGAATAATGCAGGTCTGGACATTCGAGAGCCGAAAACCATCAAGAAAGCGTTACAACTCCCGCAATGGCTAAGAGCAATGCAAGAAGAATTAGCTGCCCTCTACAAGAACAATACATGGACCTTAGTACCTCCCCCTTCAACTAACACAAACATTGTGGGATCTAAATGGGTATTCAAAACAAAGTTAAATTCAGATGGAAGTGTGGACAGGTTTAAGGCACGCTTAGTGGCAAGAGGATTTTCACAAGTATCGGGGGTAGACTTTGAAGAGACATTCAGTCCAGTGCTCAAACCCACCACCCTACGGTTAGTAATTGCCTTAGCTACAACCTTATCATGGCCACTAAGACAGCTAGATGTGAAGAATGCATTTCTTCACGGCCAGCTTAAAGAAGTGGTATATATGAAACAGCCACCAGGATTCGAAGATGCTAACCATCCGGGTTATGTTTGCAAACTCAATAAATCCATCTATGGTCTCAAACAAGCCCCTAGAGCATGGTTCGATACCTTCACTCTTCATTTATTAAAGCTGGGATTCCATTGCAGTCAGGCAGACTCTTCTCTATTTGTTTTGCATAATGGACAAGATACAGCTTTGCTTCTTTTATACGTGGATGACATTGTACTTATTGCAAGCTCTTCATCTCTACTGTAGCATATTATTGAAAATCTTAGCACTAAGTTTGCTCTCAAGGATTTAGGCTTTCTAAGCTATTTCCTGGGTATTGAGGTTACCTTGTTCTCTGGTGGTATATTCTTGTCTCAAGCCAAATATGCCAAGGATATTCTTACTAGAGCAACCATGGTTGAAGCCTCCATGATTGCAACACCAATGGCAGTCAAAGAACCACATACACCAAGAGACGAGGACCCTGTTGATGCTCAAGAATACCGAAAAATTGTGGGTGCTCTACAGTACTTAACCATCACCAGAGCTGACTTATGTTTTGCAGTTAACAAAGTCTGCCAATTTATGCAACAGCCTACCTTTGCTCACCTTCGCCAAGTTAAACGCATCCTACGCTATATCAAAGGGACTTTACACCATGGCCTTAATTTCTACTCATCCAGTACACTATCTCTCACTGGGTTTTGTGATGCAGATTGTGCAGGATGCACCATAACGAGAAGAAGTACTACAGGCTTTTGCATATTCCTTGGAGCTAATTGTATTTCTTGGTCTTCAAAGAAACAATCCACTATAGCTCGCTCCACTGCCGAAGCAGAGTATAGAGCGCTAGCCACTACTACAGCTGAACTTGTGTGGATCACTTATCTTCTCCGTGATATTGGCATTTTAATCTTAAATCCTCCTCAAGTGTTCTCAGATAATATTAGTGCTCTACACATGTCTATTAACCCTGTGTTCCATGCTCGAACAAAGCATATTGAATTAGATTACCATTTTGTTCGAGAAAAGGTAGCACTTGGTTCTCTGGTGACGAGGTACGTTCCAAGCATGGATCAGATTGCAGACATCTTTACCAAGCCCTTACCTCGCACTCAGTTTCAGTTCTTACGGTTCAAACTGGGCTTGGTGGTTTCTCCCCAATCCAGTTTGAGGGGGACTGTGAAGGAAGTTGAATCAAGTACAGAATTAACGAGCAAAGAATCAGGACCTCAGCCAACAAAGGAAACAACCAGTAAAAGGAAAAGGGAAAGTATCTCAGGCAATTGAAAACCAAAGCAC